CTATGTAATTACTTATATAAATTACTCAATAAAGATACGAGCAAGGCCTCACCTTAATATTAAAAAAAAAAAAAAAAGAATTAAATATGATTAATTTATAGCATATTATTATATATCAATTATTATTTTATTAAATATAATAAAAAAACTATTTTTTGGCTTAAAAAATTTATAATTATCATAATTTATTAACTTGTAAAACAAAAAAAAATACTCTCTAGAAAGCTTCTTTTAAATACTATTGGTATTAAAAAAATATTATAATAACAATAATAATAGACTTTATGAAGCTACAAGCAAATCAATAACTATTTTAAATAAAAATATCAAGAGTTAAGAAAAAGAACTATTATCTTGTCAAGATATTCAAGATATTATAAATTGTTTAATTATATTTAAGGTTAATATATTATTTAATATAAAAGTTATTTAAATTGTTAAGAATCAGTTAAATAATATTATACATCTTAACAAAATTTGTTACAAAAAGGTAAGTTAATTACTAGAATCTATAATAATTTTTTGCTTGTAAAATTTAATAACATATCTAAATTTGAGGATTATAGCAAATTGAAAAAATACTCTTTATGGATTATATTTTTTTTTTATTACTACTAATCACAAAGTTATGCATATTCGTAAATGTACAAGACAACTGACTAGCAAATATAAATTATGAAAACATAATCATAATTTCTGTAAACTTGTAGCTATATTACAAAGAGTAAATATTTAAAATAATTAAAGAATATTATTTTATTTTCAGAACATTGAATGATAAGTAATTTACTAATAACTTATTTACTACTATAAAATAATATAATTATTAATGAAATCAATTAATATATCAGTTAATACATCATTATTTAACTTATGCAATTCTAATATTTACTATTATTTATTACAATAGTAAATAATATATAAATAAAGAATTTCTTTATTTTATTAAATTTAGAAAATATGATTATAAAAAAAAACCAAGAGAACTACTTCTGATATCTCTTTAAACTTTAATACTTTATAGTGCTATAAATGACCATTAGTTGAGCAAGATATAAAAGCCAATGAATATAGATTATCCAAACTAACTTTGTTTATACTAGTCTCGTTGTTTGTGTTAATATCATCCACTTCTTTGATTATAACTATATTAGTTTCATTTGCATCAGCTTTGTCTGCATTAGCTTTGTCTGCATTAACTTTATTTTCAACAACAACTATTGCATCACTACCACCAACTAAAAAAAGAAACATTAACTTTCAAAAAGAAGTAGATTATTTTATTTTTTTTTATATAAATTCTATTAGTTATAAAATTATCTAATATAATCTAATTTTATATAATATAACCTTAAGTTATTATTTAGCTTTCTCTATTTGCTACTTCTAAATATGAAAAAACTGCTGAAATTTCAAGTTAATAATTTTTTTTTCTTTTTTTTTTTTTTTTAAAAAAAATATATATAATATATTTTTTAATCTATTATATATATTTTTTAATAGCTTAAGCTATTTCTAATCAATATACTTTAACCAAGTTTCTAAGTATCACACATACTAATTCTGCAAAGCTTGATTAGCTTGATAAAAACTATACAAAGCTAAAATACTTAATTAGAGAACAAAAAGCATGACTTAAAAAAATCTTAAAAAAATTCGATAATACTAATAAATTCGATAAATGTGGAAGTAAGAGTAAAGAGAAAAAGCTTTTAAGCAAAATAACAAATAATTTTCTTTAGGTATAGATACTATTTATTTATATTAATAATGTTGTCTATTAATATCATTATATATATTACTTTATATATTACTATACTGTAGACAAACAACTAGCATATAAGTTATTCCATAATCATATACAAATTAGTAATAAATAAATGAAAGAATGACTTTAAGATATGTTAGAAAGTAATAATGAATATGCAAAACAACTACAACAATTAAAGGATAAGAGCATAATATATGACAAGTTGTAGAATAACAAATTATATTTGGAAGTAAGCTATTTTTATTCAACTTTCTTTATATATAAATATTGCTAAGTAAAAGTGGGGTTTTAGAATCAATTATATTTTGCACTAGGCATAATCTCTAATTAGAGATTAATATCTAGTACAAAATATAATTGATTCTGAAATACCACTTTTACTTAGAAGCCTTATATTAATATTAATATTAATTATAAATATATATTAATTTTATTTAATGTATACTGATATTTGTAGCAAATAGATTAAAAAAATAATACTATATTAAATATATCAAAGAAGGATTATAGAGTACTTTTAGAATTAGTATAATTAACCATTTAGTGAAAATGATATGAAAGCACAAATGAAAAATTAAAAAAAGGATTTCAAGAAAGCTTATAATGATTTGTATAACTCTAGTGATTCATCTAATCCAAATTCTAACATATTTTTTTCTTTAATTATTAAATATATCTTTGTCTTTAAGAACAAATAAACTGAAGCTAATACCATCTGGACACAAGCAATTCTTAAAGTTATCTTTGATAAAAAGTACCTTTCACCAAAAATTGATTCAGATACTGTTAATATATGAATTTAGAAACTTTTAAATAATAAAGAAAAGGATAATGAAAATATATGTATATTAGTTATTATTAATTTAAAAATTTTTATTTGTATTTATATATATATATATTTAAAATACTGTTGCTTAAAATAGTCAGATAAGCTTTCTTGCATCAAAAGCTAAATTTTTAAATACAATTCAAAATAATTATAATAATTTATCAAAGTCAAATATAAGCGATAGTGAAAATTATAATAATAATAGCAATTATAAAGAATAATATATATATATATTTTTTTTGGTGTTAAGGTGACCTCTATGGCTGGGGACTTTTTATTAGACTTATTAACTTTAGGTTATACAGTTACAACGAGGGTACATCAAGCTACATATATATTTTTGGTACCTAATTTAAATAGTCTGCCTGGGTTCTACACTAGCCGCCATACCTGCAATCTAACTAGGAGATTTCCTATTTAAGCTCTCTGATTATTATTAATGAGAATACGACTAGCCATATATGCAACTTTTGGTTGCCTATTTAAGTAGTTTGCCCCAGGTTCCACATTAGCTGCTGTATCTGCATCCCAACTATGGGGATACCCATTTAAACTCTCTAGTCACAACTGCCATCCATTTCTAAACTAACCAAGGTGTAACTCACTATTCATACATAGATTTTGCAATACCTGTAGATTTCACACCCACCTTAGGACTTACCAACCATTTCTGGCTAATCTAACCATGAGGTAAACCTAACAGAGTAGTCCATGTCCCACACATGTTTATACCTGCATGTTCGGTAATTTCCTTCTAACTAGTACCTGTTGTGCTG